TCACATTTACACGAGCAGGTGTACTGCTCAGTGTATAGCCAAATATACAAAGTACAGATACACCCCCTGGTGGATAAGACACACACTTAGTGGGTAATGGATACAAATCTAAACAATTACCCTTGAACTATAAGTATTGTAGACAAGGACTCCTCCAGGTCCTCAAGAAACGATATGAAAGAGGAAATAATCTACAATACAATAATAACAGAAGGAGACATAGCGCAATACTGTTGTGATAAAAAAGGAGTGGAAATTCAAATAGTTATTTGCACTCACAAACCAAGATTGATTGTAGGCATATCGTAAAGACGGTGGAAACCTCAAAATTGGTGAATGTCATGATATATATAGAAGGAAACAAAAAAGTATAATAGTGCAGAGTATCTTGATAAAATAAACACTTTAATTATAAGGCACACTTACAGAATTGAAGTGTGCAAGCGGGCATGTAAAATGAACTTTAGGATCACAAGATCAATCACAGGATCGATGGAACCGGAACATGAACACAGCAGACAATAAAAACAATAAAACACACTCTAAAACACTATATTACAGCCCTACACATTTCGTTCAAACGTCCTTGAACTTCCTTGGGGGCATATGGTGAAAGTCCTTCTGTATGCAGGCATGACCGTCCATAGGGCTATGATGTGCTTTTAAACCGCCCGGTTTTGGCGCGCCGAAGTTGTCCTCCAATTAGCAACTCACCTCCAGGTTCGTCTATCCGTAATACTTCCGGGTGCGTCCTTATGACGCAACCGGAAGTGCGGCTCAAGCCTCTCTTCCAGATCGGATCCAAATACACATCCTTGCGTTCCACCTAATATGCGTTCCACCTCTCATTCACAAAGCGGAAAACATCCACAAACGTAAAAAATGTGTAAAAAACATATATATATATACACAACATTAATAGTACTTACAACAGTAATCTTAAAAGATAAAATGAAATATTACCCACAAATAATTATTCAAATTAGTTCTATATATTAGCTCAGTGTATAGGGCTTGAGTGGTATAATCTCCCACCTAGGATTCTTTTGAGTAATATCTCACTGGAACAGGATAAAAACTCAGACGGCAGGTAAAATAGATTTAAAATAATATACAATACAATAAAAAGTAAAATGGCAACTCACAAGGAGGAAGTGACCAAAATACCTTTACTAAAATACAATACAGTTTAAAATGTCCACAACGCTTTCGCCAGGAGGCTTTATCAAGTGGTAATGCAGAGAACATAACCTGGCAAGTCTGAGTTTATAAAGGGAGTGAAACAGCTTGTGTGTTTTAAAAATGGCGCCAAAATTACATCATAATTACATATTTTTTAGGCATCATGGGGGTTGTAGTACGGTCAGCGATATCGTCATTGTGACGAAATGAGTGGGTGTGTTTGCTTCCTAATAGCGCAACGGACCTATGATGGGGCGTCAAAAGTGGGAGGGAGTGAGTGATAGCCAAGGTAATTATTGCAGTTTATAAAATCTGCAATAATTACACTTGCAGGGTTAAGGGTGATGGGAGTTGGCGCCCAGACCACTTCAATGGGCTGAACTGGTCTGTGTGCCTACAGTGTCCCTTTAAATGGAACCTATAGTCCTGAAAAAAACAGTAGTTATTTAGGGACTATAGATTCCCTTATTACAGTGTGATCACCCCCTTTGCTCTGTGAAATGAAGTAAACAAAATAAAGATTTCTCACCTTGTTTCCAGGTCTGTAAGTCCTACGCTGCAGCCTCCAGCTCCTCTGCCGGTAATGTCCGCATCCAAGTTGACTTCACTTGCGATCTCCTCATAGAGAACTAAGCATGCGTGGCAAAACGCTGCCCTCCTCCAATCAAATGCTGCTATCACCAGCATTTTATTTCAGAACCGAGTTCCACTTGTTTCTGGAAAAGGAAGCTCCTCTAGTGGCAATCAAGAAAACAGCTGATAGAGATGCATTTAACTCTGCAATGTTTTACATTGCAGGGTTAAAATGAGAGAACCACTGCATCCATGCAAACCAGCCTTTAGTTGTTACCTTTAAACAATGGATCTGGGGAGATGGCATGCGGCACATAGGATGTGACTCATTAGGAGTTTACTATTTTGGTTTAAAGGACTCCATGGCCCACTGAAATACTCTGCACTAAGTTTTGCACTACTTAGGTCACATCAGAAAAGCAAAGAATATGCAGAGTAGATAGACACAATCTGCATACTTTATTCTACTTACAGGCAGTTTCGGTTTTACCCTACAAACTGTATTTCAGTTTGAAATTAAGATATGAGAAGATATTGGAGAAGAAATTGCCTCACTGTTGCTACTTTTATTGAACATAATAAAGAAAGCAATGTTATAATTTTTGGCCAGTAGGTGGTGATGTTTTCATTGCTTGTTTCTTGTTCATCACCACTATTCTTGAAATAAACATATTCTTAAATATTTCTACATAAACATCCTAAAGCAAATCGATAACTCAAAAAATTATACAGTTAGGAATTTGATGCTTAAAGAGGACGTTTTAATAAATAAAATAAAAAAGTATACAATTTATAGAGTAATTGAAAAAAAAAAACTAAAATACATTCTCTATATTTTTTATTTTATTTACTGTTTATATTGCTTTAACGAATTAAACTATTTTGTGGTTTCCATGTGTGCTTTATGTGTTCTTGTGCCTCTATCTCCTCTGTATCTATGGATTGGTCTTTATGTGTATCATGTTTTGTCTTGAAATGTGTGCCTGCCTCTGTGTGTCTTTAATCATTTTGTTTCTATTTGTTGACCAATTGAAAGAACATAATTTGTGACTACTTTCAAACTGGTCTACATTATACCTGAATTGACAATCTTTGATTTATGTATTACCAGCCCCAGAGGCCCCTAACAGAGCTAATATGGGGCTGTCTATTCATCGTATTATTCAGGCATGATTTTGCAAATACACTAGCTGTGTTGTAGGTTAGGTTAGGTATAAATCAATATAAATCTAAATAAGATGAAGCAGGGTTTGTTTAACATCCCTAGTACCCAGGGGAGGCCCAGCAGAATGATTACGCATATTCTCTTACCATATGAGTAATCGTGTGAGGATTAATGGAAAGGGCTCTGCTCATACATAAGGTATCCTATATTAACTCACACTTTGAGATGGCTCAAGGACTTTTAGTTTTTTGTTTTTTTTAATGCGCAGATATGTATGAACAATTAATCTTGTGTTACAGCACACAATAATATTAACAAAGAATGTAAATTAAAACTAGAATAAAACAATTTTTTCTGTTGTTTTAAAAATGTCAGATTTGCAGGACAAGGAGTTTCAGATATTGTTTTCCCAGGACATGCTTATAAATCGAATCACAAAATCAGGTGCAGCCATTTGATTATCAACACCTTGCACAGTGTAATAATACCATTGGAGGCTCACCCATGGGGGCAACTGAGGGCCACCAGTTTTTGCTGCAATAAAAAAAATAAATCAGATGTGTCTGTATGGTCAAACATGTATTATTTATGTCCTTTTAATTATTAGTACCGCATTTCCTCTCCCCCTTACTATCCATCTCTATTGCTGCTAGGCCTTTGCCTAAAAATGTGATTGCATTCTATGGGAAGTTGTGTGAATCCCCATTACTGGCTGCCCCCTGTTTCTAAATGTATCCTTTTAAGGCAGCAAATATGGCACTCTAAAAGACAGACCTGTCAACTAGCCTGTCATAAACTGTTAGCACCAGAAGGTGGAGTTGGAAGAACTCCAATTCCCCTGATCCAGCCTTGAGAATGGACTTGTTGAGGTATCTGACTGACACAGTTTTTGAATCCCTCCCCTTCCCTCTGAGATCTAGCTATGCTACTCTGCCTGTTTTAGTATGGGCCCAGCTCTGGACACCATCAATGGCAGCAGGCACTGCTTTAGCATCTCTGTGTCCCTGGCTCCCTTCCAGTGCATGTCTATTACCATCAGTGCCTGCCTTAATATGATTAAAACATGGCCCCAGACCCTCCCTGGCCTGAGACCAAAATCCAACATGGTGACAGGCACTGCTCCAAAAGCTGTGCCTACCAGTGATTTACCCTGCCACCAGCTCTCTCCTGCTTTCTCCAGTGATACTAGTTTGTTTAATTTTTTATTTTACTTAATTTTTAGATAAACAAACACAATTATTAAATAAATTAATGATACAATATTACAAATATTTTCATCTCTTTTTAAAATACATGTTGGATGTGAATTACTGTACAAATAATGCAAAAGTTATTCTTTGCTGACATCTTGTGACTTGATTCTGCATTGCATCATCAAAAATACTTTCTCTATTAATTTCACTCATGAATAGAAATATAGAGCTAAATTGCTTTATTGTCTTTAAAATACCTGAACTGTCTACATATTTTTAAAGTATTACTTCCTATTCATGAGTAAAACCAGAACAAGGGAGTAAAGTTGAATCCAAGGGGTCTAGCTCCACACCAACTTAAAATGTCACCAGCCGCCATTGAATAATATAAAAAAAGAATTTGTGGGGGGTGAAGCCTGACCACTGATTGGACCAGATGTGCCTTGTCTGAGCTCCTGCATCTGAGCCAGAAAATCGGAACTAACTGCGTGCCACAAGCAGATACTGACCTAAATCAGTAAGCATACTACTCATCAACTGACTGTGAACCCGGAGATACCGTCTAGAGATACCGTATAGAACCCCAAACGGCATTGAAGTAACCTGATTGAGGATTGACCTACCAGAGTTTGAGTTGGGGTGAGATGGCCGCTCCCTCAGTTCTCAGACCGGCGCTTTGCTGTCTCCCTTCCCCCGTTTGGACCATTGCGGGGTTATCCCAGTCCCCACGAGTGATCACCACTGCATACAGCAGCGCTTAAGCACCCGCCCTGCCGAGAATCACTGATCGGGCAGTTCACACCAAGATGGCTGACAACCACAAGCCTCGTGCACAGCATGGTGAAAGGCCCACGCAGAGCGCATGTAAACTCTTAATACTAAGACGCATGGCAAAGACATCCAACAGCCTCTGGGACCGGTTATCCATCCACATTGAGACGCTAAAAGCAACGGACGCGGAGAGAATGTGGAGAGAGGAGTTGCGGGAGACGAACGGGACCCCCCTGGGTGCTCCTTCTACAGCCACGTTACATCCTCACACGATGGGCCCATCCGAGCTGAAGACCACCAGGGACATACTTCCGGAGCATTGGGCACTGACACGGAGGATCCAACGCCGCAGGTGTTGATTGTCCACCGGGATCCAACGCTATCCCCTGCAAGGGAAGAATTTGGCCTCCTACACAAGGGACCAAGTTCATGGTTCAGAGATGCAGGCCTTCACGACAGCCCGGGGCTATGGGGGGGGGGAATTGCTTGGACTCTGCCTCGTTTTTCTCGCCATCCCCTAAGCCATAGGCTGGTTCGGGACTTTGCACTCCAAGCACACAGAGAGCTGGTGAGGTCGCCCACAAGCTGGACTATCCCTTTGATTTTGGCATACCTGCCTGCATTTACAACCTTGCGCATGATTTTGCTTCCAGTGAGATCAGTTATCTGTGATTTGGTGACTTGAGTATTGTACATGCCCACAAGCTAAAGCATAAATGTTTGAATGAGGATAGGTACACATAAGAGCAGCTTACCAACTCAATTTCACTGGTAGCCGATATGACACGACCTACTGCAGAAAAATACATAAGGCATACACCTTGCAATGGCATACACCAGCTCAGATGGGCACATAAACACTCGACACACCCACCGCCATACCTATATGGGAAACGGGGCCTGATCCACGCCACATGCAAGCATACACTAAGAGCTGGCACCCGTGGTTTCTCAAGCTTGTAACTCTACCATAATGTCTAACTACTTATACCGCATCCACACATACCTAGCCCGCAACACTCAGTTCTTTACATATACCAGCAATGTTGTACACTCACGCACACCCTGCATGATTTATTGTGTTACATATCAACTGTTCAGGCATCTTTCAGACGACTAGAAACCCCAATAGATAAAATGGTATTTTTTCCCAGCTGAGCTATTGGGGCGTCTACTGATGGTAACGGATCTAAGAGGCATTCAGGATCCTCTCTGATGGCAAAAAGAGCTTTAAAGTGCTTAGAAATGAAAGGTTTTCTTCCTGGAAATTTCCATTCTTTAAAATCAAATCCTTTGACTGTGGATGAAAAGGAAAAACCTTGGATCTTTTTCCTTTGCTCCTGAATTGTTCCTGATCACCCATCAGAAACTGGACTTCCTTAACTAGTTTTCCAACAGATTCCTCTGGAAAAGAAAATTCTTCATCAGAAGAATTACTAGAATCCTAATCTCTGGATCATGAAACTGAAGATTCGGAGCTTACCTCAGACAATTCCCATGAGCTAAGCCTTTTCTTAGCAGGATTTTTTTATTGCTGAATCCTAGGAAGCAGAGGCCTGAGCAGACTGACCATCTGCAGACTGCAGCATTTCAACAAATGTTTGTTGCAAACTTTGCTGGAACCAACTTAAAGGACCACTCTAGGCACCCAGACCACTTCAGCTTAATGAAGTGGTCTGGTTGCCAGGTCCTTCTAGGGTTAACCCATTCTTTTATAAACATAGCACTTTCAGAGAAACTTTGACAGCTGTCTCATTGACAGCTGCTAGAGGCGCTTGCGTGATTCTCACTGTGAAAATCACAGTGAGAGCACGCAAGCGTCCATAGGAAAGCATTGATAATGCTTTCCTATGTGACCGGCTGAATGCGCGCGCAGCTCTTGCCGCGCGTGCGCATTCAGCCGACGGGGAGGAGAGGAGGAGGAGAGCAGGAGGAGAGCTCCCCGCTCAGCACTGGAAAAAGGTAAGTTTTTCCCCCTTTCCCCCTTCCTGAGCCGGGCGGGAGGGGGACCCTGAGGGTGGGAGCACCCTCAGGGCACTATAGTGCCAGGAAAACGAGTATGTTTTCCTGGCACTATAGTGGTCCTTTAATTACTGCTCCAACTTTCCAAGAATTGCTAGCAAACTATTTCTTTTAAAGATATACTCCCAAATTAAATCTGCAGTTGTGTTCCACTTCCACTTTCTTTACAAGCATAACAGGGGACCCAAGTGTAAAACCATTCATCATCTGTTCCATCGCTCACTTCAGATTTCCAAGCTGCCTCTGAATGCATAAGAATTGTGGCTCAGGAGCTTTATCAAATGCTTTCCTGTGGCCAAGCAAATGTGCACAAGCCCCACATCAACTTGTACAATGCCAAATGTTGGATGGAATGGTGTAAAGCACACTGCCACTGAGCTTTGAAGCAGTGGATATGTGTTCTGTAGAATGATGTATCAGGCATCACAATCTAGCAGTTTAATAGAAGAATCTGGGTTTTGCAGATGTCAGGACAAATCTACCTAATGGAAAAATCTAACCTACTGCATAGTTTGGCGGATAAGGGATAATGGTCTGGAGCAAGTTTTCAAGTTGTTGGGCTAGCCTTTAATTTCCAGTGCAGATACAGGAAGCATTGACATTTTAGACAATTGGGTGTTTCCAACATTGTACAGGGCACTTTCTTGTTCCAGCATGATTGAGCCCCTCTGTGCAAAGAAAGGTCAATGAATACATGGTTTGATGGTTTAGAGTAGAGAACTTGTATGGCCTGCACAGACAGCTGTTCTCAACCTCATTGAAGGTGTTTAAAATGAATTTAAATGCTGATGGTGAGCAGGCCTTCTCATCCAACATCACTACCTGAACTCTCACAGTTATTCACTGTGATACACCAAGGTGAATTCAGAGTGATTTTCAAGTTTAAGGTCAAATGAAATAGAAATAGATCAATTTTCCAAGTCAACTATGCTTTCAGTTCATCTACCCTGACAAATGATCTTTTGGTGGATTGGGCACAAATTCACACTCACCCAATCTGAAATCTTGTGGAAAGCCTTCCAAGAAATACAGATTCCATGGTTATAGGAGGCATCCTTATTGTGCTGTCTGCTTGTAAAATTAGTTCTTCCAAGTGTATTTTGTGTTTCTGATTTTACATCACCTGGGGCATGCAGAATATAGAAACATGGAGGGTCTAAATATCCCTTGTAAGCAGTGTTAATTGTAAGATAATATTTATCTATATGAAACTCCAAAAATATAGAAAAAAATAAATTAAATAAAAAAGTTTAAAAATAGCAACATATTGAAAAACAAGATGTATTCCACTGGCAACAAACTAAAGTAAAAAAATTTCCATGTATATTTATCAAAGAAAAATCACAAAAAAAATAATGTGAGTTTAAAATCTGTTATACATAACCTAGCACACCTTGACCTTGAATAGCTGATTGTACTACTTTCTCGTCATCTAGTTTGTCAGAAAATGCTGTTTAAAGCTTTAAAATATCATTAAGAATATTGTAAAAATGATCATAAATTGTATAAAACATGACATGACTTTGTGTTCATTTGCCAATTGTTGACCACTAGATGTTGCTATTGTACCTCGCATGACATAGAATTGCGTAAGTTCTAAGAAACAAAATTGATATAATCATTTGTACTTGTCAGTGTAAACCCCCGTAAACATGATGGCTTGAACTTCATCTGGTTGATCTTGATGACCTCAGTAGGACCAAACCCACCAAATACCAACGCACTCTCACGGTCTGGGGACATAATTACCCTAAACACGCCCACATTTATATAAATGCTCACTTAGCCCAGCACACAGTGCCTTGTTGTGGTCCATAGGTTTCTAGTGTCCCAAGAGTGCCTACTTATTCTGTATTTTGCCCTTTTGATATTTGACTAGGCTTTTCCTCCAACTATTCCGGTTTCTGGTTTCCTGGACCCAGTTTTGGCTATCATTCTTGTGATTCCAACATTGAATTTTTTTTTAGATTTTATTAGTCCGGCCACTCTAAGGACCAGTATAGGTACTTTCTCTGTCTCTATTTCTGGTGGGTGTGTATTCTGCATGTTGGGTTACTTTCTGACACAGTGCTCCTGTATTTTTACTTTTTAAAGGTTATGCAGGCCTCTCCACACAAAGCTAGTTTCATTATAAAAGGTTGAGAAATAGGCTGTGAAATTCATTAGATATACTTTGAAATGAAAGTGAATTTCAAATTTAAGTCCAAAATATCATAATTGGAAAAAAATATCAAAGTCTACCATGGTTCCAGTGCAGCTATTTGTCTTAAAGGACCACTCTAGGCACCCAGACCACTTCAGCTTAATGAAGTGGTCTGGGTGCCAGGTCCTTCTAGGGTTAACCCATTTTTTCATAATTATAGCAGTTTCAGAGAAACTGCTATAATTATGAATGGGTTAAGCCTTCCCCCAAAGCCTCTAGTGGCCGTCTCATTGACAGCCACTAGAGGCGCTTGCGTGCTTCTCACTGTGATTTTCACAGTGAGAGCACGCCAGCGTCCATAGGAAAGCATTATGAATGCTTTCCTATGTGACCGGCTGAATGCGTGCGCAGCTCTTGCCGCGCGTGCACATTCAGCCGACGGGGAGGAGAAGAGGAGGATCGGAGGAGGAGAGCTCCCCGCCCAGCGCTGGAAAAAGGTAAGTTTTACCCCTTTCCCCTTTCCAGAGCCGGGCGGGAGGGGGACCCTGAGGGTGGGGGCACCCTCAGGGCACTATAGTGCCAGGAAAACGAGTATGTTTTCCTGGCACTATAGTGGTCCTTTAAATTTGAAATTCACTTTGAATTCCCAACAGTTCTCAATTTAGTGAATAACCCTCATAATCTCTGTTGCGGGATGACAATTCAGTCACTCCTTTGGTGCGGTTGAGGCAGCAAATTAAATAATTTACCCTTTTATGATAAGACAACTAAAAGAAAAATTCCTCTTCAGAATCATATAGGCTTGGTTAAAAATAGAATGTGATCTGTATATTCCATTCTTTCAAACAGTTGTATTATTGTTGTACATAAGATTGATTTCACATTTACCACTAAAAAGCTACCATTAAAAATGTATTATTTGGTATTCGATGTTTGTTTTGTAACTCTGCAACAAGCTGCAGGCAGTTTGAAGAATCAAAGGGCAAAACGAATCTTGTAAAGAATTGCTATGCAGATACTTAAAGGGACACTGTAGGCACCCAGACCATTTCAGCTCATTAAAGTGGTCTGGGTGCTGTGTCCCTTTTGCACCTAGTACTGCAATGTTAAAGGGACTCTCTAATGCCTGGAATACACATCAGTTTTCCTGGCACTGCAGGTTCCTGCAGTGCCCCTCTCCCTCCCACCCCCCAT